TCCCGGTTTGGGAATTTTGCTTTGTTTTTTCAATTCTTCGTTCCGCCATGTATATAGCGCTCGTTGTGCTTGCTGGTACGACGTTCGGATGACTGTATGGCCCGGTAATGGAGAGTAGTTCGGCTTTAGCACTTCGCAGGGGCAACGACCCACCCCGAGGGGAAGCGTGGCGAGAAAGGGCAGGTATCTAATTCAGGTTCACAACAACAGCTCCTGCGTGGTAAAGGTCTTTGAAGGTGCTGGATGCAATGTTGAAGGCGGCAATGCGCGTGGCCTTGATGTGGTGCGCTTGGTTGTGTGTGAGTATGCGTGTGTCTGGCCTTTTGTTTGGCGTTTGTTTTGGTTAATAGAAGGTGCTCCCAAATAGTCTAGGCGGTTAGGGTACGGGGCTTTCACCCACGCGACCCGGGTTCGAGTCCCGGTTTGGGAATTTTGCTTTGCTTTTTCAATTCTTCGTTCCGCCATGTATATAGCGCTCGTTGTGCTTGCTGGTACGACGTTCGGATGACTGTATGGCCGGTAATGGAGAGTAGTTCGGCTTAGCACTCGCAGGGGCAACGACCAGCCGGAGGGTAAGCGTGGCGAGAACGGCGGTATCTAATTCAGGTTCACAACAACAGCTCCTGCGTGGTAAAGGTCTTTGAAGGTGCTGGATGCAATGTTGAAGGCGGCAATGCGCGTGGCCTTGATGTGGTGCGCTTGGTTGTGTGTGAGTATGCGTGTGCTTGGCCTTTTGTTTGGCGTCTGTTTTGGTTAATAGAAAGGGCTCCCCAATAGTCCAGGCGGGTAGGATACGTGGCTTTCACCCACGCGACCCCGGTTCGAGTCCCCGGTTGGGAAATTTGCTTTGCGTTTTTCAATTTCTTCGTTCCCGCATGTATATAGCGCTCGTTGTAGCTTGCTCGGTACGACGTTTCGGGATGACTGTATGGGCGGTGATGGAGAGTAGGTCGGCTTAAGCACTCGCAGAGGCCACGACCCAGCCCGGAGGTAAGCGTGGCGAGAACGAGCGGGATCTAATCAGGTCAACAAACAACAGCTCCTGCGCGGTAAAGGTCTTTGAAAGTGCTGGAATGCAAT